AAAATTCATCAGCAGAAGGTGAAATAGCTGCCTACACAAAAATAGCTGAAGAAAAGTAGAAAGCAAAAGATAACAAAGTAAAATTTGCTCAATTAGGAACTGAGTTGCAAAGAAGAGAAATATATAATACCAATACACTGAACAGTAGTTTATTTAGAAGGACAAAAAGTTCAAGTAGGAGAACATAATGTGCTCCAGTCACCAGTCAGGAGCCAATAGGTTCTTTAGGATTCAAACGCAATAGTCTCAGATCAAATTGAAACAATAAAAAGGATTATATTGAATAAATATTAAAACAATTAACAAAGAAAGATATGCCAATCCACATCCCTTCAGTATGCTAGGAACCCTCCTGGGATTTTGAGTTTATTCTGAGGTTCAAACTTTCTAGGACTTTTGTCACCTTTTTATATTTTGCTATGGTAGCCAAAAAGAAAAAAAAGAAATGTCTTCCACTTGAAAGAAAGTTATAGCAGATCTAGACAAATTATTCAAGATCAGAGACATCAAATTGACTATAAAGGTATATATATTATGAAGGCCACACTTTGCCCAATTGTAGCATATGGCTGTGAATGGATTCTAGAATAACCAGAAAGGCTGAAGAGAGAAGAATAACTATTGTTGAATAATAGTGTTGAAAACAATTGTTGAGAATGTCATGGACTCAAAGAACTAATCATTCAGTATTAAATGAAATAACACTATTCATGGAAAGCACTAAAAAAGAAGCTAATGCTTAAATATTTTGGACATACTGTATAATTCAGTCACTGTGTTTTAAAACAATTGTCCTTGGAACTGACAGAAGAAACAATATTAGATTTAATCTTCAATGGTGCTTGTGAAGTGGTATGAAATGTAAATGTTTGTAACTGACAGAAAACAATAGTTGCAATACTACTGTTCCACTTAACATACATGTTACTGGGAAATTGCTAGCAGGATCCAACACAATCATATTTCGCTATAAAAGAAAATAATCTCAGAAATGAGACTAGTAACAAAAAGCTTTAAAGAAGACAAGAGAGCCAACCCTTTTTGTAATACCTAAAGATTATATAAAATCTCAGAAATTCAGGCTCAACTCTGTATTCTAATGGCAGAAAAAATCAACTAAGTCCAGAAGGAAGCCAGCATGGGTATTTTGTAGGTATCCAGTAAACGAAAAAAGTTAAAAGCAGGCTTCCTTTATGAAATAAAAAGCCTTTTCTCATGAGAAAAATAAAACATGGCACAAAGCATGGAAGAAAAAAAGTGTAAGGAAAGCAATAATGAGGAATATACATTAAGAGATATAATAAACTTGCTAATCTCTTACCTAACTAACTTGTACCTCAAAATAGACTCAATACCAGAGAATTACCAACATGATTTCTAATTTTTAAAACGGACCTGGAAGAGATCCAGGAAATTACAAGCCAATCAATGTAATGACTGTTCCAGACAAATAGGTACAAAGTGATTACTATTTATTACCAAAATAAGGACATTGAGGAACAAGCTTCAATAAAGGTCAATTCTGCTTCATTAATTTTATAGAGATTTTTTGAGAGTGCTAACAAGCATGTGAATACAGGTATCTATCAAGACTGTATACTTGAATTTTCAAGTACTTTTATTTATTATTTATTTATTATTAGTTAGATTTATATGCTGCCCTTCTCCGGAGATTCAGGGCGGCTTACAATGCTTTTAAGCAATAGCCTTTATACTTTTGTATATACCTGCTTAGTAGGGCTTTTGGCCCCCCCTAAGCGGTGTTCTATTTTATACAAAGTCAGCTTATTGTCCCCACAAACCGGGTCCTCATTTTACCTACCTCGGAAGGATGGAAGGCTGAGTCAACATTGAGCCTGGTGAGAATTGAATTCACAGTAATTGCAGACAATTGTAATTGACAAAATTCATCTTCTTGAGTAAACTTAATGGTCATGAGATAAGAGGACCTTGCATTTTTTGGATTGCTGATTTTTTTTTTTTAAAAAAAGGAAACTTTTTTTCAATTAAAGAAAGTTAAGAAGAGAAATCTCTAGTAAGTGTATTGGGAGCAATGTTTTTTAACATTAATTAAATGATTTTGTGCTGCATGTTACATAAGTAAGCATCTATGAGCCTGTTTTGACCACTAAGATAAATGATAAAAAATAGATAAAGGAATTTGTCTTGGTGCATATGCCCTCAGTGTACATAAAAGAAAAGATACGTTCTTCAAGAATCATAAGGTACAACACTTAATGATAGTCATAGGTACAAATAAGCAATCAGGAAACAATATCAATATAAATTATAAGGATACAAGCAACAAAGTTACAGTCATACAGTCATAAGTGGAAGGAGATGGGTGGTAGGAACGATGAGAAGATTAATAATAGTGCAGACTTAGTAAGTAGTTTGACAGTGTTGAGGGAATTATTTGTTTAGCAGAGTGATGGCATTCGGGGAAAAAACTGCTGTGTCTAGTTGTTCTGGTGTGCAGTGCTCTATAGCATTGTTTTGAGGGTAAGAGTTGAAACAATTTATGTTGAGGATGTGAGGGGTCTGTAAATATTTTCACAGCCGTCTTTTTGACTTGTGCAGTATACAGGTCCTCAATGGAAAGCAGGTTGGTAGTAATTGTTTTTTCTGCAGTTCTAATTAACCTCTGAAGTCTGTGTCTGTCTTGTTGGGTTGCAGAACCAAACCAGACAGTTATGGAGGTGCAGATGACAGACTCAATAATTTCTCTGTAGAACTGGATCAGCAGCTCCTTGGGCAGTTTGAGCTTTCTGAGTTGGCGCAGAAAGAACATTCTTTGTTGTGCTTTTTTGATGACGTTTTTGATTTTATCTGTCTGTTAGGATATGGTTTGAGCCTAACTAGTTGTCCAGGCAATATAAGTGTACTGTAACCTTAATCTGTAAATGTATTATGTGACTTTAATGCTGGGTCATGCTGTAATTAGGTATTCACTGGTTGTGAGAGTATTTAAGCAAGATATTGTAACGTATTCAGTTTGATGAAGAAGCTGCTATGATAAGCTACCATTGAGAGGAGTTGATCTGCTAATCATCGTTTGATGGAATCTGCTACCATCGTGGTTTGTGAACCAGAGTGAGTTTGTTATTCTGACCAACTACTGTTTGTTGAGTAAAAAGATATCTGTAACTACTGGACTGATTTACTGGCAAAGACTTGGAATTTGTTTAAAGACTATGAGACTGTTTTTCTACTATAAAGTAAGCTTTTGATAAACCAGTTTGCATAATTCTTATTCATCGCTCTCAGCAACGTTTCCTTTTGCATACACTCTGCTGGTTGGTAACACAACACCAATATCCTTAACACTGTCCATTTTAGATCTTGTGATATGGTAGAACCTAGAAATTTGAAACTGTTGGGAAACATTAGTGCATTTTCCCCTCCCTTCGAGGCTGACATAGGTCTCTTAAATAATGTCAGAATAAGGAAAACCGTGTTATTCCAGTACAATTAATGATGACTAAAAGCTAACTCATGGGCTAGGTACCAGATGGAGTTAAGGGGTCACGTTTAAACTCCTCATGTAGGACAAACAAATCAGCAACTGCATTGAATTGTCCTGTCCTCTTAGTCCTGACAAGACTTAAGTTGTTGTGCTTTCAGAAACGCATTTATAACCCTTTTCTCAATTTTATCCTTCGCTTTGGGCTTCCCCTTCTTGAAAATCGGAAGGAGCCCATCCACCTCAAAACGCGTAAAGAGAAGTTGCTCTTTCGACAAAGCGAACGGCTCTGAGGCAGCATAACATTGGATTGGGGGCGGGGGGGGGCGGGAAGGGAAGGGCAGGTCCCTCGAGAGCGGCGGTTATTTTGAGAGCCACGCGCCTCCAGTAACAGCGCCAGTACAAAGTGGGCGGAGCCTTGGAGTGGAAACAAAAGTGGAAGTTGTGCTACGTCGCGCCCGAGGAAGGGAGGGAGGGAGGGCGGGGTGTTTCCTTTATTGCAACGAAGAGGGGCGGGGCCACCGGAAGCAGCTGCTGGAGCAGCCCACCATGGCGGGAGCTTCGGCTTCAGGAGGGCGGCGGCAGTTGCGCTCGCTGGATAACGTGAGTGTTTGTGGGCATGAATAGTGTTTTGTAGGTTATTACGGAGGCTCCTGTGGACGGCGAGCCTTATGTCGGGAAAGGGGACGACGGTGGGGGGGGTGTCACAGTTGGGGGGGTCCAGAGACTCCCGAGGTTTTAGAGCAAATCGATTTAGGGTCGCCCTGACAACCCCACCACCCCCCCTCCCTCGCTCGGTTATTGCCCTCAGCAGCCTGACGCTCTGCGAACGAGCCGGACTGCGGCTGCTGTCGTTGCCAACCAATATGATCCCATATTAATTGAGAGAGATACCGGGAATGGCTAGTCTCGTGTTTGGAGAGCCCCAGCATGAAGGCGTCTCGTCACGATCATGTGATGGCGCTGCTTTTCTTTCATTTCTCTTTGGGGAGACAGGGAGGATGTATTTCGCTTGGCGAGATCTTGGGGTTAATTTTATTGGGACCTTCCACACAGTGGTGAAATCTGAATTTTTTTACTACCGGTTCTGTGGGTGTGGCTTGGTGGGTGTGGCAGGGGAAGGATGCTGCAAAATCTCCATTCCCACCCCACTCCAGGGGGAAGGATATTGCAATTTTCCTTCCTTCCTTCCTTCCTTCCTTTTTTTTAAATTTTTTTTATTTTTTTTAATTTGATTTATATGCCGCCCTTCTCCGGAGACTCAGGGCGGCTTACAATGCGCTAAGCAATAGCCTTCATTCTTTTGTATATTTATACAAAGTCAGCTTATTATTATGATCCCTTCCCATGGCCATTCCTGAACACAGGATAAACTATTTATTCTGTAAGCAAATAAATCAGTGGTGGGTTTCAAATTTTTTTACTACCGGTTCTGTGGGCGTGGCTTGGTGGGCATGGCAGGGGAAGGATACTGTAAAATCTCCATTCCCATCCCACTCCAGGGAGAAGGATATTGCAAAATCTCCATTCCCACCCCACTCTGAGGCCAGCCAGAGGTGATATTTGCCGGTTCTCTGAACTACTCAAAATTTCCGCTACCGGTTCTCCAGAACCTGTCAGAACCTGCTGGATTTCACCCCTGCTTCCACACGATATAAGTGAGCCAAACCCAGTTCATTGGACGTGTGAACTGAAGCATGTATGTGTCAGTGGGGATGAATTTGTATAAGAATGAAGCTGGAAGGGATCTTGGAGGTCTTCTAGTCCACCCCCCCAAAAGCAGGAGACCCTCTACCATTTCAGACAAGTGACTGCCCTGTTTCTCCTGAAAAACCTCCAGTAATGAAGCACCTACAACTTCTAGAATCAATCTATCCCATTGATTAATTGTTGTTGTTAGTTACAGCTATGCTTAATATCCTAGGTTGAATTAAATATGAATTTTTAGCCATCTAATTCTGTGTTTCAAAGGGAGGTTTGCAAAATTCAAAATAAAAGCATCTTGAAAGGATGACTCTCAAAGTTGGGGGAAATGTATTTAGTTCATGTTATTCTTGAAGGAGCTGAAAATGGTAAACATGCTTCTTAGTAAAAAGTTCCTAGTGTTAAAGTATTATTCTTTAAGGTCACATACAGATTTAAATAAGTCAAATTGCTTCTCGCTGGCAAGAGTTATATACAGTGTAAAGAGTAAGGACGCCTGTGTTTCCAAAAGTGACTTCAGTGATGTTTATTTTTTCAGATCATGAAATACTCTGTGCTTATTTATTTATTCTCTGGTATAATGTATTAAAACTTTGTGACATGAGGAATTTTGCTTGAATTGATTGTCACAGATACAGAATTTGTTGTCAAAAACAGTAAGTTATGTTAGTGTATATCGATATTTATGAAATAGTAATATCTTCAAAAAAAAAACCCAAAACTTGAATTATTTTTACCTGTGGGCAAAGAGAAATCAAGGTGGAGGAATTGTCTTCTTAGCTAAAGCATTGCTCCTGAAGAGAAGGGAATTATTTTCAGTGTTCACATGTGCATTTTTTTTTCCAGGGAATACTTTTGGGGTTTTTGCCCCCTACAGATGGAACATAATACATTCCTGTCAAATTTAGAAACGTATTGTAGGCTGCATATATTAGTTTAAAAAAATTAAATTTCATCTGCCATCACATATTTTCACATTTCAGTTACTTTGCTTGGTTTCAATTTATTGAAATTTGAATTTAAATAGGCTATTATTTACTTTTAGGTAGCTTCTGTTACTAAAAATAAAATGTGGATCTCTCTTTTCCTCACAACAACATTCATGCTTCATGAGAAATAGTGATGGGCCCAAAACCACCTTTCATAATTAAATGTGGCGTGGAATCAGGATTTCCTGGTCAGATTTGTGAGCCAGAAGATTTTCCAGTCAGGCATGTTTGGCAGTTTCAGAGTTGTATTGAAGTTTGGTTTTGTGGAGGTTATTATAAAAATTGAACAGGGATTTAATGCCCCCCTTGAAATAATTTATGGATGCTGAGGATGTTATTAATGGATGCTGAGGTAAATATTTTAATTGGATTTATACTGTTTTTCATAGCAACATTTTTTTTGGGGGGGTGTCTTTTTCTATACTTCATTGCTATAATCTGGGTAGTTCTAAAATTACATAACTATAATTATCTGTAGATGATGTTAAATCCTATTAAGCATAATGGGGGATATCTAAGTAAACACATAGAATTTTGTTGGAAATATTTTGCTTTTTGAAATGAACAGCTCTTTCTAATGTGACACAACTTGCACAAATAGCACAATTATTGCATATTATAAAAGTTATTTTGACTTTCTGGTTTTTTAAAAAACTGTCATCTGTTTCAGGGGTCCTTGGAGGTAACACAGAGTATGGATGATGACCCTCTACTTGATGCACCACTTCTTCCACGCCATACATTACATTCCAGGCTTCATCCAGAGTTCCATGCTATACCTACAGTCTTTGTTGCCAATGTTTTGTTGCTTTTGCATGTAAGTTGAAGAAAAAAACAAATGTGGAATCATGCAAAAGATCAGCTTAGTTTGCCTGAAGACCAGTGGTAAAGTGTGCCTATTTCACTTAGCTGACCCAACAGATTAGGAATACCAACTTCTTTCTTTGCCACCTAAATTGCTCCTTCCCCAGCAGAAAAACATTTATCTCAATGTTTCCTTCTTGGTCCTTTAAAAATGGCAGAGGCATCTAGTATCCTTTAAGACAGTCTTGCCCCATCATTATTATAATATTACCTCAGTATTCAACTGCTTCAGAACTTGTCGAATTTGGTTCTCGATGCATTTTGATGTGAAAATGTTGTCCTGGTACTCATTGTTTCCTTGGTATTCAGCACACAGCAAAAGGAAGAAGGGGACTGCCACAGTGGACAGGAAGTCAGCCATGCTAGGAAGGTCACTGGCATAGGAAAAAAGACAAAGTTATTTCCAGCCAAAACAAAGTGGAAAGTCACTTTGACACTCATATTTTTTAGTACTCGGTGTGCTTCTCAACCAATTAATGTTGACTACTGAGATAACCACTGTATTTACTGTTACAGTTTTGTCAACTTTCAGTGTGGAAATCATATCTCAACTGAGAAAATTAAACAAAATGTAGTGTGCAGAAGATTCCTATTTCTGGTGCCATAACTAATAAATCTAGCTTTTGTTATTCCAGTAATGGGATCTGAATTGCCAAGTCTCACTATTATTAACAAAATGAAATAGAGCAATCAAAACAGTTTCTGCGTATGCCAAGCAGTAGTGTGGATATAATAAAAGAGAGGCATGCTTCAATGTATGTGTATGTATAGAGGGCGAGGGAAGGAAGAAAACATAACACTAAAAGCTTGATGACAGAAGCAGTGACATGTATTAAAACCAGATTAAGTAATTCTCTCTACAAGTGAATGACCATAGCGACTACCTTCAAAATGTTCAGGACAGATTATAACAGAAATGAAAAAAATAATAAAGCAGAAACTGTATTTCCCCTTTTCTGAATGAGTTTCTATTTCACTGAAGTGAAAGTTTAAATATTTTAATATTTCAGCAAGACAGTTTTCGAATTCAAACCATAAATTGAACGTCACCTAAATAGACTTTTTTCTGTGTTAAAATGGATGTATATTTACAAGTTAAATCTGATGTTAAGTATCACAAATTTCAATCATCCCAAAGCTTTTTGATAACTATACTAGAATCTTGAGGTTTTATTTCTAGTTTATGTTGAATAATTTTTAACACATGTCTGTACACATCTACTGGCAGTAGTGTTGTGGTATATTCCTTGAATATTGGAATGTTGACTGTAATAAACAGCTTCTGACTCTCAAAATTTATCATTAATTTACTGCTTCATGTTAGAATCTTTATATAGGAACTTTGGCCATACCATTTGCCAGAAACAGGCTGATGGAAACTGGTCCCATGTGCACACCCAGACTTCCTGAACTGAGAAAAAATAACTCTGGTGCCTTGGAAAGTTTAAAGAAATAACATACATACATCATAAATTGGGGAGTCCCCATAATGCCTTTGTGCTATTTAAAAAGGGCATTGAACAACCCCAGGAACTCCTTTGAAGCAAGCCAAAGCTGAATCCTATGGACTTTTTTAATGACACTTCAACTGGTTATAAAGCGCTCTAAATCTGTGCCCAGCTATATCTTGGGTGCATATTTGCATTAGAATATTCTAGCATGCTTAGAATTGGGTTATAGTGGTATTAGTCCTGAAATGGGAAATACAAGTATTCCCAGTTGAAACACTACAATACTTCAGCTCACAACAAAAAACAAGGAGTGAAAGGGAAAAAGTGAGATTATTATAAAAATGTACACAAATGATGAAATAAATATAATTATTAATCAAATAAGAAATTGAAATGAGAATAGAGAAAATAAAAAATCGGGGCTGCTCTAATACCATTCTAAATTGAACTGAAAAGGGAAAAGAGAGAGGGGAAGGAGTAGAGAGAGAGGAAGGGAGAAAAGAGAGAGAAGAAAGGGAAAAGGAGAGGAAGAAAAGGGAGGGGAAAGAGTAGGAGAGAAGGTTAGAAGGGGGAAGAAGAGAGAAGTGGGGGAAGGGAAGGGGAAGTAGGAAAGAGAAGGAGAGGAGAAGAAGAAAGGTTGTGGCAAAATAAAGAAGTGTAAATGGTAAAAGAACAGCCCCGAATAAGTAAAAATTAAAAATGAAAGTTAAAAGATAAGATGAATGAAAAATGGTGGATAAATGATTGTACATGTAAATATGTTTATGAGAAACAAAAATAAAACTTTTTTGAAAAAAAACAAAGACGCTTGATACGAATAGTTTGTATGAAACCTGACTTGATAATATTTCATTAGTGCATATAATTATTTAATATCTTTCTTTTTTAGGTTACTTTCGTTGTGTTGGCATTTGTGACAGGCGTGATTTGTTCTTATGCTGATTCAAGTGAAGACACGTGCCCTGAAAACTACACTTATCCTTTGAAAGTGCAGACTACTATAACGATTGCTAAGGTAATTCTCTGGATGCTTCATCTGTTCCTGGAACGATACATTCACTTTCATCACAGCAAAGCTAGAAGCAAAGGTTACCTCCACATCTACCGAACCACAAGACATCTTAAAAGGGTTCCCCTACTAATTCAGTCAACAGGTGAGCCATAACATATTTGGTTATTTTAATTAAATAATGCTTAATTTAATTTAGTTAATGTTTTCTATCTAAATTCAGGTATTTCAGTATGCAGTAATAATGTTACACATCTAGGGTGGAAATTTTTTTGACTTATTTTTGTAGTGATACAGTCATGGCCGTAAATGTTGGCACCCCTGAAATTTTTCCAGAAAATGAAGTATTTCTCACAAAAAAGTATTGCAGTAACACATATTTTGCTATACACATGTTTATTCCCTTTGTGTGCATTGGAACAAAACCAAAAAAGGGAGTAAAAAAAGCAAATTGGACATAATGTCACACAAAACTCCAAAAATGGGCTGGACAAAATCATTGGCACCTTTTACTTAATATTTGGTTGCACACCCTTTGGAATAAATAACTGAAATCAGTCGCTTCCGATAACCATCAATAAGCTTCTTACACCTCTCACCTGGAATTTTGGATCAGTCTTCCTTTGCAAACTGCTCCAGGTCTCTCTCATTGGAAGGGCGCCTCTTCCCAACAACAATTTTAAGATCTCTCCACAGGTGTTCAATGGGATTGAGATCTGGACTCCTTGCTGGCCACTTCAGAACTCTCCAGCGCTTTGTTGCCATCCATTTCTGGGTGCTTTTTAATGTATGTTTGGGGTCATTGTCCTGCTGGAAGACCCAAAATCTCCGACGCAAACCCAGCTTTCTGACACTGGGCCCTACAGTGTGACCCAAAATCCGTTGGTAATCCTCAGATTTCATGATGCCTTGCACACATTCAAGGCACCCAGTGCCAGAGGCAGCAAAACAACCCCAAAACATCAGTGAACCTCCACCATATTTCACTGTAGGTACTGTGTTCTTTTCTTTGTAGGCCTCATTCCGTTTGCGGTAAACAGTAGAATTTATTTATTTATTTATTATATTTCTATACCGCCTTTCTCCCGTAGGACTCAAGGCGGTGTACAGTCAAGAAAAATATAGACACACAAACATCATAAAATTGCTAATTAAAATTATTACTTAGTTTGGTCAATCAAATAAAACCCAGAAATAGATAACATTTAAAAATCATTCACATGTTCGTATGTTTAGCCCCGCCTGTTGGAACATCAGGGTCTTGAGGGCACGGCGGAAAGCACGGAGATCAGGGATATTCCGTATCTCCGGGGGCAGTTCATTCCAAAGGGTTGGAGCCCCCACAGAGAAGGCCCTCCCCCTGGGAGTCGCCAGTTGACATAATTTGACTGACGGAACCCTGAGTAGTCCCTCCCTGTGAGAACGAACTGGTCGGTGGGAGGCTATTGGTGGCAAAAGACGGTCTCGTAGGTACCCAGGTCCTAAGCCATGGAGCGCTTTAAAGGTGATAACTAACACCTTGAATCGCACCCGGAAGACCACCGGGAGCCAGTGCAGAATGATGTGCTTTACTAAAAAGCTCTATATTGGTCTCATCTGTCCACAAGACGTTTGCCCAGAAGGATTTTGGCTTATTCAAGTACATGTTGGCAAACTGTAGTCTTGCTTTTTTATGTCTCTGTGTCAGCAGTGGGGTTCTCCTGGGTCTCCTGCCATAGCGTTTCATTTCATTTAAATGTCGACGGATAGTTCGCGCTGACACTGATGCTCCCTGAGCCTGCAGGACAGCTTGAATTGCTTTGGCACTTGTTTGGGGCTGCTTATCCACCATCCGGACTATCCTGCGTTGGCACCTTTCATCAATTTTTCTCTTCTGTCCACGCCCAGGGAGATTAGCTACAGTGCCATGAGTTGCAAACTTCTTGATAATGTTGCGCACTGTGGACAAAGGCAAATCTAGATCTCTGGAGATGGACTTGTAAACTTGAGATTGGTGATATTTTTCCACAATTTTGGTTCTCAAGTCCTCAGACAGTTCTCTTCTCCTCTTTCTGTTGTCCATGCTTAGTGTGGCACACACAGACACACAATGCAAAAGCTAAGTGAACTTCTCTCCTTTTTATCTGCTTTCAGGTGTGAGTTTTATATTGCCCATACCTGTTACTTGCCCCAGGTGAGTTTAAAGGAGCATCACATGCTTGAAACAATCTTATTTATCTACAATTTTGAAAGGGTGCCAATGATTTTGTCCAGCCCATTTTTAGAGTTTTGTGTGACATTATGTCCAATTTGCTTTTTTCCCTCCTTTTTTTGGTTTTGTTCCAATACACACAAAGGGAATAAACGTGTGTATAGCAAAACGTGTTACTGCAATACTTTTCTGTGAGAAATACTTCATTTTCTGGAAAAATTTCAGGGGTGCCAACATTTACAGCCATGACTGTATAGCTCATTCTGATAAGTTGAAACTTTTATTCTAGTAAAATGAAACAAGTCACTGTTATAGCTATGATTAATAAAAAGTATAAAATTCTGCTCAGACTTAAAAATATGATTTTATTTTTCATGCATTTAATGCATTTTACACTGCATGGTCACATATTTTCTACTATGAAAAGTGATAATGTGCTGTCTTAATTGTACCAGGCCCACTATGTGGTAAATAATTCCACAGATATGAGTATCATGTCTCATGCATAGAATCATGCATAGAAAATTTGCAGTAACACCAGTGGTCCCAATTCTTTAGAGATCAAGAATGTATCCAAGTCACTTTTTCTTTAGGACTGTATCATCTGATACACAATAAATGTAAGATATTGTTTGAAACATCTAAAGTTTGTTTGAACAGCCCTGAAAAATGGGCTTTTAGGCTTGCTTTCAAGGATGAAAGTTTATCAACTTTTAATATACTCTAATCTGGTGCCAAATGGTTTATATTATCTAAATTAATGTTTACTTGAAAACTTTTATCTTGGGTCTGTTGGTTTAGATCCTGCCCACTACAGTAAGACAATAAGCCCACTCTTACCATATCATAGTTTCCCATTGGCTTGTAGAAATAAGTAGAACATGTAGCATGTAGATGGAAAATGGCATGCACTCTGAATATAAAACAAATATTAAATTGGTATTAAATTAAAAGATGCAATCTTTACCAAACTGGCCAGATTATTTCCTCTTATCGTAGTACCACTTATTTTCATTTTTAAATTTATGTTTCTAACTCAACCTATAATGTTACATTTCTATTCCTTGATTATCTAATTACGAAACAAGACAAGAATGTTGTGGCTGCCCGTTTTCCCAGGTTATATGATAATGTTGGGGATGACCTTGTGGGAGGATGACTAGCAGTCTGGGCAACATTTGATAAGAGGCAACTTAGTTTGCAGGTGGGGGGAAAGGATGGGAAGTATTTCAGAAAGAATCAATAAGACAAGGGGAAGGAATATTTTCAGTCTTGCAAAATTCTTCTCAATGGAATCTTGCAGTAAAAATAATACGATGCTCCTGGTTGTGCTTCTTCTCTGGACTATTTTGAAGGGCTAATACTTGCCACTGAGCAGCTCTAAACTTACTTAACTGGGTAGAATGAAAAATCTTTTTCCAGATATTTAAAATGTAAGTTAATAAGCACCCTTTGAAAAGAGGTTTACTTGTTCTCTAATGAAAAATTGTTTATTTATAAATTAAGCATCTGGCATATCAATATATATATACATTTTGTAGCAACCAAACTGCAGTTTGAACCAATCAACAATCTGCAGTTTGATGCATATCTGTAGTCATGTTAGATGTGCACCACTGGAATGGGGCCACTAGATAGAGCTCTAGTGATAGAAAAATTGACAAGATGGCCGATAACTATTTAAACAGATGATACATTCTCTTGAAGATCTAGTGCTTGTGCTATGCTCCTATGGAAAAAAAAATATATTGTCCTTTTACATAATGCTAATAATCATTTCACTTGTAAGTCCTTCTGTGCTGTCTCATCCTTATGGGGTGGGTGTTCTTGGGAAGGATGGTAAGGTAGAGCCAGAGTGTGTTTTTTTCTCAGTACAGCCACCCCAAAATATAAAGGTCATCCCAGCAGCCCAGCTAAAACAAGCAGACACCTGTACAGTTCTGTATATATAAGGCAGAACTGATACAAGAAAGTCCTGGAGGGGTATAACAACAGAATATTTCACATTACACAAAAGAATACAATGGTAATGTGCTCTTACATTTGGATATGGAGAGCAAATGATTGTAGTGATTGTTAAAATCATCACATCCCTAACAGGCCAAAATAAAAATAAATCATAATAGAAAGAATTCAGCTATGGTTGTTGAAAGGTAACATTGATTTGACAGTACTCAATCAATCTGTATATTAATTTGACCAAGAATAGCCTTATATATGTTCATAATATTACTCCTAAAGCCCATTGAAAGCTGGTGATGTGACTGGTATAAATCCAATCAAAATAAATAGTATGTATCATTCCAGTAAGTCTAGCCCACTACTGTAAAGATTCATCCAGGAGCCTTACACAGTTAATCAGTGGTGACTGAATTGTTCTGAAAGGCATAATGAAGGGGAGAATTGAATTCAAGCCCTAGCCCTGCAGACCGTTAATTCATTTTCTGTTTGTTTCTATTTTGGGTCATTAGAGTGAGCTGTGTATGAATTTATTTTAATGGCCTATTGATCAAGGTTATCTGTTGCATGCAATTTGGTTTAAAGTTGTTGCACCATTATCATTTAAGTAGAAGGGTTAATTTTGAGTTATATTTGGAAAATTCTAGACTACCCTTCACTGTTTTAGTGGTCATCACAGGACCTTGACTTTCAACCAATGTGGCTTTGTGGGAAAACTGACCCAGATTTCTGTTTCTAATGTGTCCTGTTTGTTTTTAATAGGAAATGTGGCTTTACTGCTGATAGTATCACTTCAACATTCGTTTCCTAATCACAATAAAATGTATCTCTGCTTCATGCTGGGAATCTTGGCTCTGGAATTGATATGTTCATTGATATGTCTGGTTATCTACACAGGTGAGAATTGTTTCTTTGCCTTGTTAGGGTGATTAAGCCACCAACTCTGGTTCTGTTTTTAAAGCATTATTTTAACATGAACTTGATTTAAGAGGGCTGCAAAAAATTTACAAGCTGTCACCCTTATATTTATATTATTGGAAATCATACCACCGGTCCTTTCAGTGTTATTCTATATGATGCTGAGAAAAAGTATGTAATTTAATACATTTGAAAAAAAAAATGGTTAACTTTAGAAGAGGACAAAGATGCGGATGTTACTGAACTTAACTTTTGTGGTGGTGGAACTGCAAGCTGCAATTGTTTGCATGACACTTACATCTTTCAACTTTTACGCTGGTGTATCCCAAGGGCTTGGAGCAGTGTGCAGCACAAAAATAGAGCATACAAAATGCAGCTGTTAATAAAGAAATTCTTCCCTTGGCAGTGAGAGCCATCTTTTGTGGCAAAGCAGCTGCTTTGAGAAGCTTTTTGCCTGGCACTGATAAGCAGCTACATCTCTTCATGAATAGTTCAAGGCTCTTTATTTCTTACTGGGTACATGGTAGCTGAGGAAGGAAAGAGCACGAAATTCATATTGCAAGATATATTTGCACAATTCAGAGACTGTTAGAAAAACTCAAGCACAAGATGCAGTCTTATAAGAATAATAAAATTATCCGGTCTCTTTCTCAGAAAAAAGCTGAAACTGCCAAAGAATGTAGCATTTGACAGTAAAGTGAGATAATTCTTTACTTATTGCAGCAAAGAAGACAAAAATGACACCATGCTATTATTTTCTAGCCATCCTAGTGAATCTGTATTTTAAGGAGTTAAGGTGTATGTGAATAATCTGTAAACTGCTGTTTCAAAGGTGTTGGCTTTCGAGTATTGTGGCTTTGTATTGGACTTGCTGCTTTTTCTTTTTCTCTGACTCATACAGAGTCTCCCACTGTTTACAATTAAAGAAATAAAATTTAGAACCTAGAACAAAAAAGTATGTGACAGGTAATGTCTCATTTAATACACAATGGCAACATAAACGCAGATTTTAGCTAGCTTCTAAGGCATCTTTGTAAGTGTAATGGAAGCAAAATAGCACTATGAAGTAGCTAAATACAGTTGTGCTTAGAAGCTTGTGAATCCTTTTGAATTTTCAATATTTCTGCATAAATATGATTTAAAACATGTTATCTCCACGCAACTCCTAAAACTATATATGAATCAAAAACATTAAACTTGTTAATTTGTTTATTGAAGAAAATGATTCTCAACATTTAGGTCATATTTATGTAGAATTATTGAAAATTCAAAAGGGTTCACAAGATCCATGCTGGGTATTTTGGCCTATTAATGCTTTACTACTGTATATAATAAGTCTGTAGCCAAATTCAAAAGGCTAAGTGGGATCCCCTTTTGCCCTTTGAATCCAGACCTCCGCATAGCCATAGAATCTACATTGTTCATCTTCACAGTTGTTTGTTCTTCTTCTTTTTTTCTTTTTTTTACTTTCTTCTACTACTCTTCAATGTTTTCTTTTATTGCTTCCTGGTCAGTGATACTGATTTTCACTGGCAATGTGTATGACAGCACACAAATTGCTGTAAATATGCAAGACAGCACATTGGCTAGTCTTTTATGTGCCACACAATTCTTTAGTTCTGTTTGTCTGAAATAGCATAGGGTCTCCTGCTCGAGCAGGGGGTTGAAAGACCTCCAAGGTTCCTTCCAACTCTATTATTCTATGTTCAATTAAGGAGCAATGGCTTTGACAAAGTGATGAAATGAGTTTAATGAATGCAGGTTCTGTCCCTACACATTGTACACATGTGCAATATAAGAATACATAAATGAAGCAGAGTTTTCCTCAGAGTGGTTATTTCATCTTTTGTGCCCCAGCAGATGCCCACCGTTCTCTCTCTACTTCTATTTCTGAACATTGTTGTTAATCGCCCTCATGTGTCTCTTCATCTGATTTACAATAATCTATTTCAGAAAAAAGTTATATTATTTTTAAATGGCACAATAAAATACTTTGTTTACAGTTGTATTAACAAAATCACTAGCTTGCCCATCTTTTATGATTTTGCTCCACTGGCCACCTTTAGGCACCTGTTAAATGACAATTGTTTCAAATGTGTGCTTTGGGGTAATCTGATCTGCGCTTTGATACTTGAATTCTAAGGCAGCTTGAGAGCTAAATGCACCTCTAAAGCTTTTTACAGCTTGTAGACACACCTGTTTTAGTTATTCCTCTGATCAGTCATGCAGCCCTCTTCCTACATAGCAGGTGGCCTAGTAAAGCAATTCTAGTAGAGATAGGAAGAGTTTTTCTGTTCACACAGAGCTGTTGATTGAGTAGATGAGAATGAAGCATTGTGTTGATGTGGACCAGTAAATAAATAAAAACAATCTTCTCCAGTATGTTCGCTAACCCCTTTTTGGCTAAAGGCTAGGAGTATTCAAGCATTCATTCTGAAAACATATTTGCAGAACCAAATATTGGATGTGAATGATGATAATTTTATACAGTTTTTCCTAGCCAGAGACTCCCCACCCTTCCGACAATGTATGGGAATACATTACCCATCAATTCAACAAGCATATCCGCTTTAATTCATACCATTTCAAAACAGCATTTTAATGCTCCTTTCAAAAAATAAAGGCAATTAAATAGGAGTCCAATCTTGGGGCTCTTTAAAAGGATTTAGACTAAGAATGGTACATATGCCACATCTCCATATTTCCTAACAAAATATCCCACAATTGCACAAATAACCCAATTGACAAGGGTTTTCTCTGAGTTAACAAGTGGATAATTAGCGTGATGTAAAATATAAAAATAGCTGAAATGGTCACATGAGCTTTCCGTGTTAATACTTGTCTCCATTTTTTTTTTTTTTTTTGGTCATTGAATTTCCTGGTAGATAATTATATATTATGGTTGTATTCACATGACAAATTACATAGCAATCCCCTTGCTCAGCCAGTTCACCCATTTCTACTCACCAATAACAAATAAGCCAGGGGTCCTCAAACTTGGCAGCTTTAAGACTGGTGGACTTCAACTCCCAGAATTCTCCAGCCAGAATACCTTTAAGTCAACAAGTCTTAAAGCTGCCAAGTTTGAGGCCCTGGAATAAGCTTTGCTTGGTTGTTTGTTTTCTTATTGGCACAATAAGGCTGGAAGATTTTGTCTACTGTTCCCATTTCCCATATTATTTTCTTGAACAGATGGGAAAGATAGTAATGCCACTGTTTTATCATATCCCACTCCTGCTTCCTTTTTATTTGATGGGGAAGAAAACTGATGAAATGCCAAAACAGATCTGTTCTCTTGGGTGTCAAACTCACACTGTCACATTGCCGTCATTAATGTATTGCAACATTTTCCCCCTTCGCGGAGCTGGGATGGGCGTGGCCTATGCATGACACATCCAACCGCCAGTTTGACACCCCTGTTCTAGAGTCTTCGAAAAGATGTATTCCCCATTCACCCAGAATCATCATCACCATTTTAGCCATTGTCTATCCACTTCAGGATGAAGGCCTATTTCCAACCAATATGGTCCTGAGCTTTCTTTTGCCAGTTGGGCCCGCAATACTTGCTGATGTCATCGATCCATCTTGTTTTAGGTCTCCTTCATGGACACTTCTTACCAAGTGGGATCCATTCTATGATTGCCTTGATCCATTCTCTGTCTGCCATCCATTCTTAGTATGTGACCAGCTCATTTCCATTTCAATTCTTTTACTCTCTTGATGATATTGTATACTTTTGTTTGTTCTTGAATCCATGTGCAGGTCTTTCTATCTTGTCTTGCAATGCCAAACATGTATCTTTCCATGGCTCTTTGCGCCACTTGTATCTTTTGTATTGATTGTGCGGTTAGTGTCCATGTTTCTCTGGCATATGTTAGAATAGGTAGCACACACTGATTGAAAACTTTTATCTTCAGGCATGCGTAGGGGGAGGTTATCCTTGAAATTTATGCTTAGCTTGCTGAATGCCTGCCAACCAGATTTAACACCAATTTCCTTTACTGTATCACCTTCCATTAAGATCCATTGGCCAAGGTATATGTAGTGGTTTACTATGTCTAGTTCTTGTCCAGATATAATTTGTGTGTATGAATATATTAAACATAACCTGGCTCTTTTTCAGGATATTTAGTCGACTGAGTAAAAATTATCCCAGCTTTCCAGTTGTTATAACATAACAATACCTTTTCCTTATAAACATGCCATGAAAAACAGGATCATGATAGCATTATATAAAGAAAAAATAACTACACAATTGTAGTTTCTCTTTCCTTGCCCCTAAGATGGCATGTTTTGACTTAAACCGACTATTCTTAGCCCATGGAGATTGGTTTCTTTTTTGTTTTTGTTTTTGTTTTAGAGAAAAGCCGAAAGAAAAAAACCTTCCTATTCTCTTGCCTATATTGGGGTATATTCTAGAATTGCTAAATTGTTTGCGTTTGATTAGAGCCCTAGACATCTTGAGATAAAGCTTTCTGATGAACTGTTTCCATCCATGTGAATGGAACACAAAGCCTGTTGTGATTCTTTTTTCATAACTAATTACCTTTAGAGGCACATTTAATGAAATATGTGAAGGGATTTTTATCTTTGGAAGCAGAATATTTATTTATGCTACAAGAATTCAAAATTCCTTTTACATCAACTTTGGATTTTGTCATTTTATTTAACTTCGTTTGGGCTCTCTGGTTTTCTCTGGGTCTGAATAATAAGACAACTCATTTTTTTCCTTATGCTTCTTGTTTTATACTTAAATTCTTTGAATAGTTCCATTTTGTAGAGGAAACAATAGATTTTTTTCTATAAATGAAGTTTGTTTTTAATTGAATATAGTTTGACAGTAGTGGAATACATTTGATCTTTTCTTTGTTTTCAAAGTGAAGGTAAGCAACTTTAATCGAGCAAAGCCAAGACCTGATATAATAGAAGAAGAGAAGATGTATTCTTATCCTAATCAAGTTACCTCAGAAGTTGGATTCAGGTACTTGTATAAAATTTGCTGAACTTGGATAAATCCTTGGCACTGACTCCTGTGTTTTTAAAGCCCTGATAGTTTGATACATTAATCTCATGATTCATTATTCTAGAGCAGAGGTGTCAAACTCATGTAGTCACGTCGGCGTCACGTCACATATTGGGACTTTTTCCCCCTTCACTAAGCACGGATGCATGTGACGCATCCGGCCAATGGGCCGGGAGTTTGACAGCCCTGTTCTAGAGCAGGGATGGGAAACTATGGCCCTTTTATGACCTGTGAACTTCAACTTCCAGAATTTCTGATCCAGCATGACTCTGGGAAGAATAACTCTTTTGAAATGAGTTAAAATAGTAAAAAACAATGTAATTAGGATGATGGTAATGATTTTATTTTATTTTATATTTTTGCTTTTCAGAGAAATCTCAAGTTTGGAAGAAGTAGTTGAAAAACAAGGTGATATGATTGAATACCTTCAGCGGCACAATGCCCTGCTTAGCAAGAGACTATTGGCATTAATGTCCGAGCAGAACAGAAGCTAGTGGTATTCAAGACAGCAATGTAGAAGAAAAACATCTCCAGTACTGATTTATTCTCTGAAATGCAAGTTGTACTGAAAAACTCCAGTCCAAGTTTTGAATAGCAGTTGGGCCACTTCTGGATCACTGGAAAAGCTTCTTTTTAAAAAGGATATATATTTTTAAATGGTTGTCTTTACTAAATTTTTTTGCAGTGCAGGAAGCAGACCTTAGATAGAGAAAATTTCTCTTTCTATGTCAGTTACAGATTGTTCTTCCAAAGTGCCAAAGATTTCTATAGTAGTTCAGGATTCAGTTCTTTTCAAAAATACAGCAAGGAAAACATCTTCATTTAAGTGTCATTTTTCTTTACATCTATATTATCAGTTAAACTATTGGATACATTTATAAAAGAATATATCAGTATTAGGCTATTAGTATCTCTGCTTCATCAGAGATGAATAAAGTTACTATAGTAATAGTGAAGAATCATCTGGAAACTCTTTAATACCTTTTTAAAAAAAACTGGAGTCACAGGTTCCATTTCTGCAATTATAGCGATAACAGAATAGAATCCTAAATGCAAAGGAATATCCGAAAGAGGAAAATGAGAATATCCTACATAAACTGGAAAGACCATGTGGGTATAATATGGGAAATATAAATTGAGCCTTTTAAAATCATGGATATCAAAATAAAGCTAATATTGCCTTTCTGCCTTGCTTATGTGTATGGGCCAGCATCTTACAATCAAATGAACAAGAATGGGAAAAAGTGTGAAAATATTTTTTAAATGTGGGGGGATAGTAACAAGCTGCATGTAAGTCTTTATCTCTATCCTAGAGATTTATGGTACAGTATTGTTTATAATGTGAAGAAACATTAGTTTCTGGCTTTTATGTTCTTCTTAAAAACTACTTTATTTTGAAAAGCTACTTCTTTAATCCCTGCATATGGGATTAAAATTCACCTCCTCTGCCCTTTAAACCTGTCATAATTGTTGAAAATACTCAGGCCTACTATATTTAATGATTGCTCCCCCTGAAAGCTGTTGCACAAAATATGTACATAAAAGTGTGTAGATCCTATTGAATTCAGTGAAAATTAGTTGCTGGAATCTGCTCGACTAAAGTTTTTAATTTCCTTTTTCTCTGTTAACAGTTAATTGCCTGCTCTGTCTTTTTGCTGCCAATGAAGAGTAATTTTTGTGTATTCTGTAGTCAGAAAGGCATACTTTTCCACAAATCGGATAATTCTGTGATTTTGCCTAGGAAAGAACAAAAGTATACCAACCATCCTGCTATAAATTATACAAACTAATTGTTCATTCACTGCTTACTGAAATATATGTATGCATGTATATTGCACAAAATAACTTAATATTGCAACTGACTCCTTCTAACACTAATTCCTTCATGTCTTTTAGGCTGTGGTTTAAGCACAGGTAAGATTTTATATAGAAGATGAGCTTTCCTTTTAAAGGTTACTTAGATTTCATCATAGTTTGTACGTAATTTGTTCTACCTTTTGTATTAAATGTGATAAATGAATAAATGCAATAAATTCTAATCTATTGCAATCTGTACCTAAAGATTCTTCAAACCCTGTGTTAATATGCCTGTGGAAAAAATATGTCTTTATCAGATCTAGTTGCCTACTTAAGAATTCATTTTGTTATCAAATGTGATTGGTAGCAGGAAAGTGCTACCTCTAAGGTCCCTTCCAACTCTGATATTCTTTTTTTAAACAGTTTATTTATGCAATTTCATTTAACTTACATAAGCGCTTTGTGTACAGTGGATTGTTTGGGTCAATTTGCTTACATAATACTTTTTCAGCTCCTAATTTCTACTTCTATTATCCAACCATTTATAAAGCACTGATATTTTATGATTCTATTAATGTCAACAGGAACGATTCTAGTCTAGAATATTAGATATCGATATAAACACTTGTGCATTAATTTAAGCCAATGATTAGTTAAATTGCATAGAAACACTTGCTATTATTTTTGTTATGGCTCTTTCAGTTGCAGCTCTTACTGGATTTGAACATTTAGAGCAGTGGTTTTTTAAAAAAAACTTGGCAACTAAGTTGTGTGGTCTTAAACATCTAGAATTCCCCAGCCATTCCCCTCAAAAAGTTGCCAATTTTGAAAAGCTACTGGGGTAGAGTATAGTAAGCAACCTGTGGCATTCCAGCTGCACAACAGTGCTTTTCATTTGTTGTTCTTTTCAGCCAAACATGCTAATGTTGCTTGAAGTTGTGGAGCATCTGGTAAATGCCGAAGATTCTTTTTTACCAGTCACAAAGCTTCCGTCCTTCCAATTCAGCTATAATTATTTTATTTTCACAGTATCCATCCTTTGGTCAAGATATGTTTTCCCATTTAATTTCCTTTGTATTTTGGAAGATTTGCTAATTTGTGCAATATCTATGAACTGAGTCACAGATCAATGCTTTTAATACCCTCCCTGTTTCAAGTGCACCCTCTGTTACACTTCAAATTGCCTCTCCTCCACCTCAAGTTCATATTTTATCAAGGAGTTCATGTCTTTACTGGCTCAGGGCAACTAGTAAATTCCACTTTTGGATAAGGGTCTTAAGTGCATTACAAAATACCTTTAAATTCATTTAAAAGACTGGCTGCTTCAAACTGAATCCCCAGACATGCATTGAACTATAATCTCCCAGAATTACCAAATTCCCAACGAGAGGAATGCTGCTCTAATAAAATAAAAATGTTCAAGCCATATAAGAAGTCTCTCTTAAAATTGAATGCTTCCTTTGTATTTGCTTCCTTTATATCTGCTGATATAAAGCATTAGCAGAATAATATTCCAATAACTGAACCAGAGTGGGGAGAAACTGGCAAAAACTATATATATCTGATTTTAAAATAGGGCTGAACTAGTTTGGGTTTGCAAAGAAAAAAATATCTCTTATTTATCCCAATTGGGAAATGAATCAGAGCGTTAACAATTTCTTCATTCTAAATTGTCCTGATCACAGACTATATGTAGGGATCCAGGGAGTCACCACCATTCTGGCATTTGAGTAGATCAGTGGCTTATGTTACGAAGCTAACTATTAAAAAAGCATATCTCAATTTTATCTATTTTAGAAAGGAATAAATTATTTGAATCAGAAATAATTTCTTAGTGTTTACCATGTTGTTGATGGTCAGTAATACAGTTTTTTCTAATTATTCATGATATATTGGGCTATAATTCCCCAGGACTGTCAGTGACTGATTTTTAAAGTTCTTAACTCAAGCTCATGATACCAGCGATAGTATCTAACCATCTTGTCTCCTACTGCTCTCTTATTAAGGTTAGGACAAGCTTTATTCCTCCTGACCACATTGATTTACCTATGCATTCCATTTGACAACAATATGGACACAGTTTGCTGTTTTTTTTTTCCTAGTTTCCCAATCTCGTCTTAAGACTCAGGCTCTTGTGATGACTTTCCACCTAACATTTTAGGGATCAGTCAAGTTCTGTTACATACTGCTGCTTGTCATGACTCTCACCAAAGCATGTATTGATAAAGAGGTACTGGATGCATGAATTTTGTGCATCAGTGAGAGGCTTATAGCAGGAATTATCTCAAAAATCAAATACGTTGCATAGCCTCCATCTGACGCTGCATGAATTGACATTTTCCATTCCCCTATGGCATGGGTGTCAAACTCAAGTTCATTGAGGGCTGCATCAGGGTTGTGTTTGACCTCGGGGGCCAGGATGGGCGTGGCCAGGGTGGGCATGGCCAGCTTGATGTCATTCGTGTTAGGGGCATCTGTGGTGGCCCAAGTGCTCTGCCAGCGAAAATGGGCTCCCGAGCTCAGTTTTCAGCCATGACGGCCTCCTGTCATCCTCTGCCAGCGAAAACGGAGCTCGCGGGAAGGGGAAGGAGCTGTGTGACACCCCTGCTCTATGGATATCTCAATTATATGATTGGGAATCCTCCCATTCCCCTATGATCACAATTCAATCTGTATAAAGGAGAGTATCCATTAAGTTCTATACAGGCAGTTTTATATAGAGAAGTGTGTCTAAATACTGAATGCATAATACAACCTAAACAATTATTCAGTTGTCTGTTTCTGCATGGGCTGGTTGAAAGGACAAACATAACTAGATTCTTATATTGATGACTCAGTAGCATAAGTACTTAAATAGTTCACAAATGAGTTGATATCATGTGGAGAAAAAGCATCAGTATAATTCATAGCATAACTCAAGTTTTTGTCTGGAAAATAGAAAACATTTAGAAAAACATTACAAAAACTAAAGATCTTCAAAATGTGCTAGAACAACCTAGTTGCTTTAAAAGTTCATGAAATTTCTCACAAAAAAGGGCACGCTTTAAAATGATTTAAAATGACGAAATAATTCTCAAATTGGGTAAGACAAAAGAAGGAAAAAACAAGTCTTGAGTGTTTTTTCTTAACGCTGAAAAATGCTTTCTGTGTACTCCCACACTCTAGCTTAAGATCATATTGAATGCATGATGTGAATATCAACAAAGACTTTTGTTTTCTTGCAAATACTAGATAAAAAGATTTACTACCTTGCAAATTTGTACATTGAAATGTAAGTAAACAAAAAATATTTTCAGTACCCTATTGCAAGACTATTTATAGCTCCTTTTTTTTTTTTTAAAAAAAGACAGAGCTGAAAGTATAAGGTTTGATATATATTTTCCCATAGTGTTTCTGGAGTGCGTTTAATTCCCTCCCCCCCTTATGAATTTTTAAATTTATGTTAACTGAATCGACTTCCCATAAACATTTAATGCTGGAAACAATATGAATGAAATGTACATGAAAAGAAACATCAGAGTCAACACTTCTTTTCACTGTGATGGGTAATTAAAGGCAAAAGTCTGGTTGGATAATATTATCAACAACCTAATCCTGAGATAACTGTTTCCCACAGTGATTGTCCTTTTATGTTGACTGGTTAAAGTGTCTCTGATGCATAACAATGTGTTTGGAGACAGAACTGGGCTACAAATTGTTCTGCTGTCCCAGTGTGTAAATATTATACAATGGGAAATCCTTAATCAGTATGCAAATGGGAGCAAATATCAATTGCTTTTTCCAATAGGTAAAGTTTTCCTTCCCACATCTGGCTGTTTGGACTGTGGTTGGCACTAAACTACAATGTACAATCCCTTTGACCCCCGTTTTTTTCAAACACTTGTACATTAGTTGATTTACAGAGGACACTGCACTAGATTGGAATCAGGCTAGATGAGGTATACTTTTTTTTAAAAAAAAGAATCTTGAACGTTAAATATGTTTAAAGTTTTTGCTGAACCTGAAGATGTTTTTCAGTGAGTCCACTATCTTTTGCTCAAGGGAATTCAGGCTTTCCTTCCTCCATCCCCCCCAAGGTCCCCTCCTCCTTCCCTGCAATATATTTACTGCCTCAGTCTAGAAGCAGACATTAAGACATGTACACAGTTCAAATATAGAATACAGCAATTCTATACAATTCATAATGATTAAATAGAAAGGGTCTAAAATTACTCATTCTTTAACACAAAATCAATTGGAAAAGCCAGATGTTTACAAGACTTCAGAAGTCCATGAGAAGAATGGAAAGTATCAATTCGGGAGGGGGGCTATTCCAACAGAGGGGAGCCCCTATAGAGACCACTCACTCTTAAGCCCATTCCCATGGCATCACAAAATAAGCAACTCTCCTTAGTTTCTCCGTTTGGGCAGCAGAATCTATCAGGGCAAAGGAGAATCTAAGAACCCAATGCCAAATATCAGACAAAGTAATGCAAGATAATAAAAACTGCATATAAATATCTCTTGCTTGGAAAAATGGTTTTGTAGGAAGAAGCAAATCATTTGTGGCTACTATCTTAGTTGCAATAGAGGTTTTGAAGCAACATGAAGGCTAAGACATTTCACATATCACTTAAGTATTTGATGTCTATTTTTCCCTAAAGGACTTCAAAGTATTTTATGGTTCCTCACTCCCATTCCTATTTACTTTTGAAGGAACCTGTATATTTTAAATGCCTTTGACTGATGTTTAGTTATTTGCACACTTAAAAATGTATCTCTTTGACTTATTTGAAGCTTTAATAATTATTAAATTGTTGTAATAGGAACACAACATAACACACTGATACTTAAAAATATTGATCTTTAATTTCAGTAGTTCTCTCCAAAGAAAGGTGTATAATTTTTATTCTGGTAGAACTGGAAATCTACAATTTCTTTAATGTGCCATTATCTGATTATTCTAGTAATAGTTTTGGCTTAACATTTTAAAAAAGAATAGTTTAATGTATATTTTACTTAGGTAGATACAGTATATCATTACTGTTTATATTGATCCCTTATGTAAATAAAAAAAAAAATGAAGCAAAGATTTCACGTCTCTCTGAAAGTGGATGATTTCAATATACAGCATACAAAAATGTGAAAAGATACATGAATATTTAATGTGACAGTACTATTTGAAATACGTTTTGTACAACATATACAGTTACAAACATGCTTTAAGAAATTATTGAATTACAATATATGATCTAAATTGATTGTAGTGTTAAAATTGCTACCGTGTTTCCCCGAAAATAAGATCCTATCTTGTTTTATTTTTTTTGAACCCTGAAATAAGCGCTTGGCCTTATTGCCATGTGCTCAAAAGTCCGATTGGGCTTATTATCAGGGGATGTCTTATTTTGGGGAAAAGAAGGGTACAAATTATCAAGGACTACTTTATGGCAAGATATACATTACAATATTGATAAGTATCTGATCACACAAAGCCTTATCACCCAGTTCATTTCCACTGGTATAAGTGATTTTTAAGGTTCAAACATGCTTGTAAGATTTTTTTGTTAATTTTAGTTAATATTTGAGTATTTCCTCTTTCAAAAATAGCCAGATTATCTAACCTGGCATTTGCTGACATGCTGCAGTTGGAAATTCTGGAATGGTAGGCCGCGATACTAAGGAGTGCTGGCCTGAGAAATTTTTGAACACAACAGGAATAAAACAAAGCAACCTGGTCTTCAAGCAATAGTGAAACTAATTAAATAATTGTGGCTTTAAGCAGTAATACTGTTTATCAAATATTAAGTTCATTCTTGCATATTTTTAATAAGAGTGTTAAAAGATACACGAGTAAGAGACACTTAATATAGCCAAAGCTTTTTCAAGGACATAATTTGTCTAACATTGCAATGTTTGCTTTCTGGCTACAAGATTGCTATGTTGACATGCCAAGAAAAGTGGTGAGTATACTGCATCGATGATTCTCCAGTACTGCTAGATAAGCTCTTTTGGTTGATAATTGTTTCTTCCTTCTTGAAAGAATCCCCAAGCTCCAGGAAAACTTGTTCCAACAGTTTTCTCATATGATTTCTCTATGTTTCCTGATGATGGCTTATGGGGTATCTCTGCAGATTATAACTGTGCCATTACCAAAATGTCATCTGGACTTCTGTGCTTAATTCTTTTTCTCAACATTTTGAAGAAACTATTTTATAGAGAAAAGAGAACGAGACTGGATTTAAAATTGTCATACTGAGATGGTCCATAAAAATATTATTAACATTAAATTTATGCAACTGCCAATGTAGTCAGATCATGATAATAAATAATCAAGGAAGGCATACTTCAGGAAAACAACATTTGCTTGTAGATTTGTAGGGGGTAATTCTTCCCTCTCTTTGAAAAAAGAAACCTAGTAATATAGTGAAGATGAATCAATATAAAATATGGGATCGTAGAACAGAGTTACTTAGACCATAGCAGGACTAGAAAACACCATAAGCAAATGCAACATTAAAATGTTGAAAATCTGCACTGCAAAATCATGCTGCAGCTTCAAATTTAACACATAGCAGCTGACAAGTTACATGAAATTCAGGGAAAAATTTGGGACCCATTCAATTTATTGCAAAATCTTAATAGGTTGATTTAGTTCTGGTCATGGAAAAAAAAAGCTTGAATGTCTGTAGAACAGATTCCTCACTAAATACACTACTAATTCATCTATGGAGATTCACAGCCATCCAGGTCATGGTTATCCCAAAAGTGCTTTTTCAAAAGGCAACTGGACTTTTCTCCCCCGTTTCTCATCCAAGAAGCTTCTTCAGTTCAGAACTGAAGAAACTTCTTGAATGAGAAATAAAAGAAGGCCCAGTTGCCTTTTAAAAAGTATCTTTGGGGATATTCTACCAAATCTGCTTGTTTGGAAATGTTTGGGAAAATATTGTGCTGGAAATAGATGTGAGATTAGATGTTACCCCAGATGTTTTCATTGTTTAAAGATGTGTTTTGCACAACCTTGCATTATGTAGCTTATTGCTGTGTAAAAAAAAATAACAGCTAAGAGATAAAAGTCGTCACTCAATTGTACTGTCATCTGGAAAGCTGATTCCTATATAGAGGAGCTGTGATCCACCTGTTTCCTTGGACCAAGTGATTAAAACTGAGCAAACAGGATACATTTGGCTCACTATGTTTAGCCAGTAGTTAAATTGGTACTTTAGTCAAACAGAATTTTCTTTTTGTGGATGCTCAAGAGGAGCCTACAAGTCTAGCTGTGCTGAAGTGGGAACCTTTGGAAGGGTAATACTGAATAAGCATTTAAACTGCAATATGTCCAAAAGACTTTGCTTGTTTGTTGGGAAGAAAAGATGCATTTGGAGCCCTCTGTGATTCTAACATCTTGTCACTTCTGCTCTGACTTAACTTCCTGTCTGTAAAAACCCATACCACATATTTATCCTTACAAGAAACATATTCTTTATACATGGTCAGTTAAATTGTCTCTACCAAATTACATACAACTTTATTCTCCAGTGGGAATTCCATCATTTAATAAAAGAATTGGGCAAAAGGAGAAGATGATTAGAGCACCTTGATGTATGGCGCTTAGAATAAATTTTAGCCACCTGAAATTCAGAACCCATTTCAAAACCCAAACACAAAACAAAAATGGCATCTTTACATGCATATACGCTCTCCCTATCTTCTTCTCTGTTATGCTAGTCCATTGCAGTTAGATAAAGGATGGAAAACATGAATGGTGGATGTGTTTTTCTGTGCCTGCTGAATCTTGTTTCATATGCACTTGTACCATAATCTTTCTAAATTATACTATTTACTTTATGCATTTTAAAAAAAATTGACAACTTCCATCCCAGGAAATTCTTGATCCTATACAAAATAAAATATAATTATCAGGTATTATATAATGCTAATATTATGAACTTCATAGAAAATTTTTTGTAAAGGATGGTCTGGTGGAATCAGTGGAACTGTGTTAATCTTCCTGTCCAATAAGCATTTTACATTATATGCATAAGCATATAGAGAAAATATAGGATGGCAGGTATACAGTGGTTTGGTAAAAATATAATTTATTGGCTTTCAGTTCCTTGTTAAGGAATGGAGGGGAATCTATTTACATTAGACTGCAGATCAGGATTTTTAAGACGTGATAAATCTGCTGTAATAAAAATGTCTACCAGAGAAACATCTAAATTCTTAAAATTAGGCCAGTGCAATAACTGAATACATTAGAGCTCAACTGGGTTTTTTTCTCATTAAATCTTACTTTCTTTAGACAGAGAGTGATCAAAGTACACCAAAAAGATGTTCCTTGTTATTAAACTAGTCTAAATTAGAGTCAGTCTCAATAACTTTTATGTAGATGTATAACATCTTTCTTCCCCCAGAACTCCCACTGCATCCCTTTTATTTCTAAGTAGTTAATATGAAATATAGAGATACATGGAATGTCATTGGAAATGGGATACCATAAATATATATTAATTCTCTTAATAACCAACTTTAAATATATGTTACTTTTGTATGGCCTTGCCCTTCATTTTTGATTCCTGACAGTTATACTCAGCTACAACCCAGTCAGTGTGAGTGTTGCAGTCTCAACACATCTGGAGCTCTAAGCTGGGAACTGGGAAAGTTTGCTATAGCCTTAAGAAACAACAGTAACACACTAATGGTCAGTTTTAAAACATATAAACAGATTTTGTGAATGTTGTATGTCTACAGTACAAATTTAAAAATTAATTTAAATTTATCTATAGATATCTAACCTAGAACTAAGAAATTTCCTGATCATGAGAACAATTAATCAGTAGAATAGCTTGCCTCTAGAACTTGTGTGGATGTAGGTTTCAAGATGAGACTGGACAGCTATTTGTCTGGAATAGTATATGATCTCCTGCCATGGGCGCAGGGTTGGACTAGAAGACTTCTACAGCTCCTTCCAACTTTATTACTCTCTGTTCTAGGTTCTACATGTGATTCCAAATGCAGCTCATCTCCTTGCTGTATATGGTTTAGTTTTATCTTGGTATTTCAATGAGAGAGAACCTAAGGGCTACCAAAACACGGAATGGGACAACTGGCCACAACCAACTCGTCATGGCCAACTTACCATGGGACAGCTTAACAATTCAATTTAATTATTTAAAATAATTAAGAAATTACTTTAATTCTTGTCATTCATATTTCATTTTGTCCCTCCTTTGCATTCTTTCTTTAATGATTCTATTCCACCATTTATTTGATACTAGTGTTACTCTTGTCCCATGGCGAATTGGCCACAGCAAGTTGGCTGTGGGAGGTTGGCTGCATGAGTTGGCCACGGCAAGTTGGCAGTGATGAGTTGACTGTGGCAAGTTGTCTTAAACCCACCAAAACAGGGATCAAGTCATAACCAGCTGTAGAGTCTCAGGCTGCCTTTCATTGGTTCACAACATAGAAAGTTTAGAAATACATTAGAAACATTGACTCTATTAAATCCTTCCTTCAATTGATGTGCCATTTACAAAGTGATAGTTAAGAGCATGTATTTCTGTTCCCTGCCTCTTGTTACAAGCAAGCAGCTCCATAAATGGAACTAGCTACAAAATAGCTTTCCGTTTTACAAATAGCTGTTCTATAAATGGGTATGTAGTGAAGGAAAAAAGAAGTCCACCTAAGTGCATTTTTATCACCCAGGTCTTCAACAGTAACTCACATGCATTATATTTCAATGCACATTAAAGACTTCAGAAAGTGCTGGATGTGCAGGAAAGAGATGATTGAATCACTTTTGCAGGAATGGCCCAAGGCTTCTCCTTCCATCTAAATTCCACAATGTGACTACATTTTATGTGGTGAGTGAACAGATGTAATTCCTTTGGCTAGATATTCTTCTGCTGACACCGCCAGTCTCCTAATCTGCCATGAGTTGAATTTAACCCCAAGATAAGCCTAAACCCTAATTGCTTTGTTTGATCTCCTATCATTTAAACTCTAATGGTCTAACTAAACTGGATCATGGAAAAAGTAATGGACAGTGTAGAGGCAGCTTTGAAATATATTTCTTATTCCCATTCTAGGATGCAATGAACAAACATTTATGTATGATAAATTAATTTTTTGTTTAATAAGGTATTCATGTTTTACTTTCTTGGGGAAAAAGCTCCCACTGCGGTTTGCTTTGGAACAGAAGAAATATCCATTGCCTGCCTTAATCTAAGCATTTATATTGTATCAGTTAACAACGTATAGAAAAGGTAAATCAATTATCTAATTTACTTGGGTAGGGCTAGTGAAACATTGATGGCATAACATGTTTTGTGATCTCACAGTGATTTTCTCAATGAACAAACCCCGGATTTAGGAGCAGGAATGGACAACACTGGCTGGACCTGCTGGAAACTGTAGTTCGGCAACTTCTGCAGTACCCCAGATTTTTTGCTACTGAACCAGTATGATACAAGAAGCAGCTTGCATTAACAGATTTGGGCTTCAATAATCCAAACAACTGCTAGATGGCACCCAGGAGCTAAAGTTCTCTGAATCATTTTGCTGCCATTTATGGACTCTTACATCCAAGATCTAGAATCTCATTTCCCTCTAAGGCAGAAAAATGATTCACTAATTCTGCAATGCAAATAAATAAGAAACAAACAAACAAACCATGTCAAATCACATATGTACTCAGGAGGTACATATACATAGCAAAGGTTTCTGCTATGCCATTTTCTTCCAGCCCTGTGACAGACAGGATTCAAAGGGGTAGAGGCACTGGCTAAATAAAGTGCTTGGTTTTTGTTTGCCTTTAAGTGCCTAGAAAAAGCAAACATTCCTTTAAAGATAACTTAAAACCACTTAAAACTACTCAGAGGTGGGTCTCTACTGGTTCTAAAGAGCCTTTAGGAGAAGTGACAACCCCTGTAATTTTTTAAAAATTTATTTATTACAGCTAGAGTATCAAAGGCTGTGTAGTTGCCCACATATAACAAAAGAAGTTTCCAGATGCAAAGTGTTTGACCACATGTTTTATTCATCTGTAAATGGGATGCTTCCTTGAGAAAAGAGCTTAGCATTCTTTTGATCCTTGCTCTAGTATGTCCTAATTCTATCCTTCTGGACTGTTTGCATTTATATGCCGTCACAGAATGCAGTCCTGCTTCTTTGCACTTTCCATTATTTAAGCTGCAGGACCCCAACTGGGTTTGTGAGTTTAGCCTTATACATTGCTAGAATGCAATCTAAAATTTAAAGTGCTCCCAGGTCCTCATGGCAACCGCTTGCCAGTGACCTCTCTGAACAAAATGCCTCATGAGTGGCTGTCACGGGCCACAAAGAGTTGACACCTAAATTAAATGTGTGTCTAAATTCTGGGGACTTACATTAGATATTAAATTTAACTACCACTTAGCTAAATTCATAGCCCTATCCAGATCTATAGTTTCAGTCTTACTGACATTGTCATAAAATTTAAACTTTGAATAGATGAACCATCGGCAAATTTCAGCTTTTCTGGAACTAAAATCTGTAATGATCCAGATGTTCCTGAACTTCAAAGTTCAACATCCCTCACAATCAGCATAGTGACTTGGGAGTTGTAATTTAGCAACGCCTACAGAGCAAAGATTCCGAGTCTTTTAATAAAAAATGAATGTCACTTTGTTTTTGACAATCTAGTATAAGGGAATTAATTAGGAAGGATTTGCTATAACAGTATTTCCATTAACATAGTCCATGTGTTGAGGCATTTAGACACAATTAGGGGAAAAAGCAACTCTATGAAGTGGATGAAAAGAAGCTCCATTAATATTGTTTTGCATGATTTGTTAAATAACACATACATGTGTTAAATTGCCATTCCATAACTAATACAATATTAGTTTACTACTTAGCTTGTTAGCACCGCTGCATTCCAGGTTCCTTCCTTAGTGATTTAAGATTTTAAATAATGCTTTTCATCTCAAAATTTATTGTTTCCAAAACTGTGGGAACAATATATGACAAATACAGCAAACTCCAAATGCAAATCCCTGACCAACTTGGCAAAGAAATTTACTTCTGCTTATGATTTTTCATTTAGTATCTGTTTAGAAATGTTATTTGATAAGGTTGACCTTTAAAACTGCAGAGATTGTCTCTGCTACGTAGCTAGGAATATTGGCTGCTATATTTGTATGGCCTGAAGTTAAAGCACAAAACGATTCTGTCCTTTTCAATGACAGTCCTCTCAAGCTAGCTTTTCATCTGCTACGTGGGTTACATTTGCATCCTGCTCCAAGCGGACAGGAATCCAAACATTTGGACATTTGTCCAATATCCATGTAAACCAATGCTATTATTTAAAAATCTTGTATGAACCAATATGCGAGAAATTTGTATTTCTACATTAACAGGGGATGAGATAGTTGCAGTTTCATTGGAAGAGGAAATACTGGCCTTTGGTGAGTAGAAAGCTTCAACAGGACAGCAGGGTTTCGAATGAGCCTCTTTCTCTGTACAGCTTCAGAGAGTGAAATAATTGACAGAGAGCCCAGTGCTACTCAATCATTTGGAACCATGCCCAGGGGTTCACATAAAACAAGTACTTTTATTGTTCTGTTCCTCCCTTTAGTTTATTCCCATCCCCACCCTACTCCCAGTACTCCCTCTTCCTTACTCTATTTTCAGAGCAAATAAAAACACAATGGGAGCAGCCCAAAGGAAATTGTTTGTGGTTTGGGGTCAATCAAATCTATCCTCCCCCCCAACCCCATACACACAAAGTTTTGAAAACGGAAATGTAATTTGCAAAGAGGAATATTCTGGTGACCCAGCCAGCCACCCAGTCCTTCTGAGTCGCAACATGAGAGGAGCAACCTTTGATGGCTGCACCCTAATAGCACCTGGCTTCATTACCAGATCAGTGTTGATTGTTCCTTGTCTAAATTTAATCCCAGCCCTGGGAAATACCTCAAGGGAAGGGCACTCTGGAATGAAGGGGCATGCATCTCCTGTGGGAACAGTGATGTCTGTGTAGTTTTCGTCTGTTGGCCAAGTTAGCTGGAAGACAGGAAAGAGAATATTGAGATGTCAGTATTGTGATATAAGGATTAATACAAGATATAAGCAACCGTGACTTCAGCTTGCTATCAGAAGTATTTTAGAAGGACCATAGAAGATGCCTGCTTGTTCCAAGTCCAAAGACAAATTTCCTGTTAAAGTAATAAGCTATCTCTAGCAAAACTCCCCTTTCAAAATTATCGGAGTACATGCATGTGTGTGTATTTTATAAATACTTGCATATAGTAAAACCATTGGTTAAGCCTAGTATAATGTATAAATCCATCAGCTGTTTAAAAACATGAGCCAGCAAGCAGCTTATTGTATAATTAATGCCTGGATACAACAAAGTATGTCTCATGGTGTTCAACTCCCACATAATTTGTACATGATGTGTAACTAAAACTTTAAAGCATAATGCAATGGGATTAGCTTTAGAGGATGCCATGTGCGGCTGGATTGTGTTCTTTGGTTTTATTGCACGAATTAAAAAAAAAACACTGTGTAAAATAAATTCAAATATTTTTTTGAAAATATAAATGGCTTAAGCCTGCTAATTGTTTTGGCTTAGTTTCTAAACTACAAGCTTTCCCAGTTTGATCCCTTCCCAGAGTGTTAGACTGAAACTCTATTAATCTCAGCCAGTATTCTTTTCTGTGGATGACAGGGGATGAAATGTAATGTATGTTGGAAAGATCCAGAATGGGAAATGTTGGATTATATCCTAAGGCACGAACAGCTTCTCATCTCAATGCAGTTGGAAAAGCATTGAGCAGACAGTTGTTCATTCTTTCTGCTTCAGCCCCCACATAATAATGGTCTGCCTCAGAGGGTTTTTTTTTTTTTGGTAATACCATGCAAAACATATCTGACCATTTAGGAAGAATAATTAAGAAATGCTGGTGTAGCACGAATCATTGAAAGTGGAAAGCAAAATTCACTGCAAAGTGCTAAAAATCTCGTATGAAGACAGAAATATGCCCAGTTTTGCCCAGATGATCATAAACTGCTAACTTATTTATTTTATTTATTTATTTATTAATTTAATTTGTATACCGCCCTTCTCCCAGAAGGGACTCAGGGCGGTGAACAGCCAAAATTAAAAAACATACAAATGCAAAAGTTAAGATAATTAAAAGAATTAAATCATTGGCTACCCAAATTTAAAACCCCAAATCCATAAAATTTAAAATCCCAATTAAAAACCATTTAGGCTAGGCCGGCTTGATGAAATAAAAACGTCTTCAGGGCTTTACGGAAGGTCCGGAGGTCCGGGATCAATCGTATTCCAGGAGGCAGCTCATTCCACAGGGCGGGTGCCCCCACAGAGAAGGCTCTTCCCCTGGGGGCCGCCAGCCGACATTGCCTGACCGACGGCACCCCGAGGAGGCCCTCTCTGTGAGAGCGTATTGGCCGGTGGGAGGTTATCGGTAGCAGCAGGCGGTCTCGCAAATACCCTGGCCCTAAGCCATGGAGCGCTTTAAAGATGAGAACCAACACCTTAAAGCGCACCCGGAAGACCACCGGGAGCCAATGCAGCTCGCGCAGGAGAGGTGTTACGTGGGAGCGCCACGTCGCTCCCATAATCACCCGCGCGGCCGCATTCTGCACCAGCTGGAGCCTCCGGGTGCTCCTCAGGGGGAGCCCCATGTAGAGAGCGTTACAGTAGTCCAGGCGTGACGTAACCAAGGCATGAGTGACTGTGCACAAGGAGTCCCGATCCAGAAAGGGGCGCAACTGGCGTATCAGGCGAACCTGATAAAAAGCCCCCCTGGCCACGGCCGTCATATGCTCTTCTAAAGACAGCCGTGTGTCCAGGAGGACGCCCAAGTTGCGAGCCCCCTCTGTGGGGGTCAGTGACTCGCCCCCAATAGCCAGCGATGGCACCAGCTGGCTATACCGGGACGCCGGCATCCACAGCCACTCGGTCTTGGAAGGGTTGAGTCGAAGCCTGTTCCTCCCCATCCAGACCCGCACGGCCTCCAGACACTGGGACATCACTTCGAGGGCATCATTGGGGTGGTCTGGGGTGGAAATGTACAGCTGAGTATCATAACTTCTCCTCTCTCAAGAGAATTGTGTAATTAAAATGTTTATCTTCTTTATATAAATAATTAATTAAATAAAGTAAGTTTCTATTAGGAAAACTTTACTCCTTTTGACTACACCATTATGTCCGCCCCCCCTCCCCCCCCGGCACTAATATGGAAATGTTTTGCCATTTCTTTTGCTAAATTATACCTGGGATCTCCTGGTGGTTTTCCTTCCAGCGGACTAGCCACATCTGATTTGTTAGCAATTTTTAGATGGCCAACATCAAATTAGGTACTGCTGCCTGCTGTGCCATGTTATTCAAAGAAGAGCTTAAATCCAAATGTCATAGTTTTCCTAAAGCCATTGGACATACTGTACTTTCAAGGATGTAAAGATGCGTGAACAATTGCTTGAGCTTTTTGATATTTTTCTAGGCTTGAAACTAAGCCAAGAATAATTGCATCACATCAGAATCAAGCATTCTTCAAATGCTAGCTGGGCTATACAAATACTGTGGCAATTTGATCCAACATCCTGTAGGGTGTCAAACTCAAGTCGTCACGGCATCATCACGTGATGAATCGGGACTTACCCCCCCCTTCGCTAAACCAGGTGTGGGTGTGGCCAGCACGTGACGCATCCTGCCTGCAGGTCAGGAGTTTGACAGTCCTGCTGTAGAACATGAATCCACACCATGTTTGTTGCTGTTCTGGTCTTTGTAGGTTTGTCCTGTATCCAGAGTGTCTGCAGGGTATGTGATGCCCTTAAAAAAATAGGCAGAATGTCTATTGCACTGTTTTGGCTGCCATCTTGAGGCACAGTGGCGCAGAGATTAGAGTGCAGTACTGCAGGCTACTTCTGCTGACTGCCGGCTGCCTGTAATTTGGCAGTTCAAATCTCACCAGGCTCAAGGTTGACTCAGCCTTCCACCCTTCTGACGTGGGTAAAATGAGGACCCAGATTGTTGGGGGCAATAGGCTGATTCTGTAAACCGCTTAGAGAGGACTGTAAAGCACTGTGAAGCAGTATATAAGTCTAAGTGCTATTGCTATTGCTATCTTACCATTTTTTTATCACATTCTGAGGACAGCAAGAGAGCCACTTTATAATTCTTCAAACTCCTGGACAGTTACTGGTGCAGTGATAAAGGTGACAGGTGAATTTTTATCTATTATCTGTAATTTTTTTTTCTCTCTGTCTCCGGACACACACATACATACACACATAAATGGACTCAAGGGCTCCTTTCTCTCCTCTTACCCATTAAGAGAACTGTTTTGCAGGATCAGACTACCAAATGGACTTATGGATCATACATTCTTTTGGAAAACATGGAAAAGTTTTGTGACATCCCATAATCATTTACAGCTACGGCTACCTAATATTTTATGGAGCACAGACCATTTCATCAGATCTATGGGGAACTCTCTTAAAAGAAGAATATGCATACATGGCTCTGCTTTTTCTGTAGAAAAATAAATCAAAATCGGTTCACCTGCAGTGGAATGCTTTTAACATGTACAGTACATGAAATGGGGGGGGGGGGGTATAATAGTTAAATATACCTTTCCCGACTCCCCAGTTGCAGCCTTGTTGCTGTTTTCTTTTCTCTTTCAGCAGAAGAGAACTGGAAATGTAAGTTATCACCAGCTGGCATTAAAGGAGTCGTGTCTCCCTGCAGCCTCAAGGGTGCAACTTCAAACTCTGTTTTATTTAGAGTTCACGGAGACCACTGCCAGACTCGGTGCTGTAGGATTGTTAAACTCCCTTCTGAAAAGTCAATTGACTGTTGATTTTATTTATTTTTTTTAGCTGGAAAGTGAGCAGAGGGCTACAGAGCTGGCTTATTCTTTCAGACAATCCATATATCTGAACCATGTTTGCTGGGTTTTTTTATTTTTTTATTACTGATTTGTTGAGATGAGCGCAATAGAAATCAAGAGAGCCTCAGTGATTTTGCATAAACAAAATAAAATAAAAGGCTCAAATCAAGTCACTTCTCACTGTGATATTGGCTAGCCTAATAGGGTTAAGCCATCCTAGGAAGCAGTCCTGGGAAGAACACAGGTCATTTCTAATCAACGTTAGAAAGCTTGTAAAACATCAGGAACTTCGAATATAGATTTGCATGCCCTTACAGCACTTTTTTTTTTAAAATGAAATTTTATATACGTTCCCTTAAGGGTTCTGGGCAGTATGGATATTGCCATTAAGGTAACTAAGCTATTTTCTTAAAAGCTCCATTTTAATAAGATAGCAACCACCGAGCTTAAAGATGAGCAGAGGATCTAAAAACCCGACCAGTTTCCAGTTCTAGTGGGAATTTATTTTGATAAAGACACAGAATTAACCAGCCTAAGCAAATCTAACCTCCCGTGCTTAAACCCCACCAGGCAGGTCCACGCGCAGGTATCAGAGGTGGCCGATATGCTCGGGACAATTCCTAAATTTGCCATCGTCCCAAAGAGCAGAAGAAGCAGAAGCGGACAGTCGGCGCTCTGTCGGAGCGCACAAGGAGCACCGACTACTATCTCTGTTTATTCTCCCCTTGACCGGGGAGAGCCAAACAAGAAACAACCCCCCCCCCCAAAAAAACCACCACCACCAAGTCTTACCTGGCCTCTGTCCATTGACCAGAAGCAACCCGGTCAGCAGCAACACCCAGCTCAAAAGGAGCTGCGGGAATCTCATGTCGGCGGATGAGCGCACGGCAAGGGGACTCGGCTCTTTTAATCCCACTTCGCGGCGGAGGAGCAGCTTGCCGGAAACTGCAGTGGGCTCTTGGCGTGGCTCACATTCCCTGAATGACAAGCCTTGCCGGGGAGCTTCCCTTGCCTTTCCCAGCAAGGTTAATGACCGCGGGAGGCAAGGCTACTGGTTGGGCACGTTGTGGTCAGTGCCTTCCCCTCTGGGTCCCCCGCGACTCTGCCCTGCCCTGCCTCTTCCTTTTATCACTCCCCCCCCCTCGATTCCCTAAGCAAACAACAGGAAGGAAAACCTGTGTGGAACTGGAGATTTTTTCTCTCCCCCCCAGCAACGACCCAAACTTCCTTCCCCGATTCAGTCCAGGAAGAATAAACATATGCCCCCCCTCTCTTTCCAGCTACTGGTTTCCTCCTCCCATTTGCAGCTGTTTACGCTTTGGCTATTTTGCCCATCTCTGTCCCATATGCAAACAAGGCAGGGGAGGGATGGAAAGTCCTGTCTTTTGTTTGGCTCTGAAAGGCAAGGCTTAAGATCCCCCCCAAAAAAAGAATTGTGGGGCCCTCCGCTACCCCTACCCCCAATCCCGATCAACTAGCTGCAAAGTACTAAAGCTGTGCCTTTTGTGGCAACAAGGATTTTTTTTTTTTTTAAGGAGCCGAAACACTTTGAGTTTAAATGTATTATTTCTGAGACTGGCAAGATTTAAAAATGAGTATCGCCTTGAGGGGCAGCCATAAAGTAGAAAGATGCACCTTGATTCATCTTAAACCTGAAATGCATTTATTAGGGCTTTTACATTAGTGAGTCACAGTCTAAAGCAAGGGTGAAATCCAGCAGGTTCTGGCAGGTTCTGGAGAAACCGGTAGCGGGAAATTTGAGCAGTTCGGAGAACCGGTAGTGGAAATTTTGAGTAGTTCAGAGAACCAGCAAATACCACTTCTGGCTGGCCCCAGAGTGGGGTGGGAATGGAGATTTTGCAATATCCTTCCCCCACGAGTGGGGTGGGAATGGGGATTTTGCAGTATCCTTCCCTTGGAGTGGGGTAGGAATGGAGATTTTGTAGTATCTTGTCCCTGCCACACCCACCAAGCCACGTCCACCAAGCCACACCATGCCCATCAAGCCATGCCCACAGAACTGGTAGTAAGAAAAAAAATGGATTTCACCACTGGTCTAAAGTTCTTAAAAATTCAGGAGATACTTATGAGATGTATCTGCCTTGAAAGTATCCCATCTTGAACATATTGGTATGTGCTTTAGTTCTGGCTGTGCACCACCCTGAGTCCACTAAGAGAAGGGCGGTATACAAATTGAATAAAATAAATAACTGTATAACACAGCCAAACATCAGGAGTTGACCTGCTGAATTGTGTGTTTTCATGATTGTAATGAATGCTGTGGTTTGATAAGTAAGCTTGCTCAGACTCACCTTGAACCACGAGATGGACAGCAAATAAATTTGACAGGCAGACAAGCAAGCAAGCAAAGGCTTTTAACTGGAATTCCTACAGATTTTTCTTGTAGATTACAGATGTTTTTGTGGGAAGAAAACTGTGAGTCAGGTGTTTCCAACCCTATTTATCCTTCAAGTTACAAACAACTGCATTTCAGAAGCAACTTGTACAGTGTTCTAGGTGTGGCATTCCATTTAATGAGGAAGTAATGGAGGGCCATTAGTGTGTTGTGAGATGATGGAGGTCAAGAGAGATAAATTGTTGAGAAACAGAATTGGCTGTAAGACAAGAAAAAGTATATCAGGACAGATGTTGGAATTGGAAGACGACAAGCCAGTGTCACTGTTGGCATGGAATTTGGTGTGTCAAATGCTTCTGCTCAAAAATCAAAGTTTTTTTTTTTTAAAAAAGTAGAAATAGGAAAAATCAAATAGGGTTTTTTATTTTTCTTAGAATGGGTGACATCAGCTTCTTTGTGCTGCAGTCCAGAGAGAGTTACTCTGAACATTCAATATAGTTTCTAGAACATAGAGGTTAGAAGGGACCTTGGAGGTCTTCTAGTCCAACCCCCTGCTGGAGCAGCAAACCCTATACCATTTCAGACAAATGATTATCCACTCTCTTTTTGAAAGCCTCCAGTGATGGAGCACCCACAACTTCGGAAGGCAAGCTGTTCTACTGGTTAATTGTTATCATTGTTAGGAAATTTCTCCTTAGTTGTAGGTTTCTTCTCTCCTTGGTTAGTTTCCATCCATGGTTTTTTGTCTTGCCTTTTGATCTTTGGAAAATCGGTTGACCCACTCATCTTTGTGGTAGCCCTCAAATATTGGAACCCTGCTATCATGTCTCCCCTAGTACTTCTTTTCATTAGACTAGACATACCCAAATTCCTGTAACCGTTTTGTATGTTTTAGCCTCCAGCCCTTTAAACTTATTTATTTATTTATTTATTTATTTATTTATTTATTTATTTATTTATTTATTTAAATTTGTATACCGCCCTTCTCCCTGAGGACTCAGGGCGGTGAAGAGCCAAGTAAAAACATAAACTACAAACATTAAAATACAATTAAAAAGATATATATAAATTTGGCCCCATGATTAAAAACAATAACAAACAATTAAAAACATTTTAAAAAGTGTTAGGCCAGCCCCGCTTGCTGGAAAAAGAAGGTTTTAAGGGCACGGCGGAAAGCACCAAGGTCTTGGATTCTCCTTATCTCTGGGGGCAGCTGATTGCAGAGGGTAGGTGCCCCCACAGAGAAGGCCCTCCGCCTGGGGGTCACCAGCCTACATTGTTTGGCTGATGGCACCCCGAGGAGGCCCTCTCTGTGGGAGCGCACAGGTCGATGGGAGGCCGTCGGTAGCAGCAGGCGGTCTCGAAGATAACTAATTAATTGCTCTTTCCTGCACTCTTTCTAGAGTCTCAATATCTTTTTTATATTGTGGTGACCAGAACTGGATGCAGTATTCTAAGTATGGTCTTACTAAGGCTTTGTAAGAGGTACTAGAACTTCATGTGGTCTTGATTCTATCCCTCTATTAATGCAGCCTAGGATTACATTGGCTTTATTATTTAAGTGATTATCCACTCTGACTCCAAGATCCCTCTCACACTTAACTGCTATTGAGCCAAGTTTACCTAGTTTGTACCTGTACATTTGATTTTTCTTGCCTAAATGTAAAACCTTACTTTTCTCTACATTGACTTTCATTTTGTTAGAGAGGGCCCAGTGTTCAAATCTATCAAGATTGTTTTGGATCTGTCAAGAACTTTTTGGCTCTTCCGTTGTCTTCTCGTCTCCAATCTGTGTTTCAGAGAGTTGTCTACCATTTCCATCCCTTATAAATTGATCAAAGCACAGTGTGGATCTCTATATGGGTCAATGGCATTCAAAGCATGCAAAACATTTTTTTGCTCATCTTGATCCTACAATAGGACATATACATGAGACAGTAAGACCAGTAACATCCAAAGACCATCAGGTCTCCCCATCTGTTTTAAACCACATGTGTATATTTATTTCGTCTATTAAAAGTACTTATAATTCCTAAAGTAAGGTAACACGGAATTTAAAAGAGTGGAAAAAGACCAGTTAAATTTCTGAACATAATTTAGCGTTCAGCACCCAGTGAATTAATGAAGCATAGATATTTGTTTGGCACTTGGAGCAGCATAGTACCTGACTCATTTATTTTAACTTTTGTTTTTACTGAAGGTTGTGTAAGATTGGGCATGGATAGTGAGGAAGGAGAAATCACATTCTAATCATCCATAACAATGCACAAGCTAATAGAGAAACACAGACACGCATATCAAACCATTAAATACACCTATAATTCTCTCCCTCCCTCAGTTTAAACATAAAAACATAAATATTGCAAAGTTTATTAAATTGCTGAATTATCTATAATTGGCTGGATTCACATGTCATTTTAAACCAAAAACCCTTGTTTACATGGCTTCACAAACCATAAATCAAAGTGCAGCTAGTTACTTTACTGCTACTCCCTAGGCATTTTTGTACTACTGAAATGTAACATCTGTTATATGATCTTGACAGCAGTTGAAGTGGCCACTGTCTCGAAGGCCAGGATAATGGTTGCTTTAACAAAGTGCCACAAAACATCGTAATACTATAAGATCTAAGTCACCTTTTCAAATTGAAACCAAGTAGTTTTAGACAGAAATAAGATTAATTTAGTAGATGAGAAACTGCATGTTTTCTCTACTACAGAATCACAATCTATGCATAACCAGATGAATTAAACACAGTTGACTGCTGCTAGAAAACTGCAAGTTACAAGGTACAAGGAAAGCCAAATGGCGAAATCAGACATTTGACTTCAACTGAAATCACTCCCCCACCAGGGGTTAAATCCAGCAGGTTCTGACAGGTTCTGGAGAACCAGTAGTGGAAATTTTGAGTAGTTCGGAGAACCGGCAAATACCACCTCTGGCTGGCCCCAGAGTGGGGTAGAAATGGAGATTTTGTAGTATTCTTTCCCTGCCTCACCCACCAAGCCACGCCCACCAAGCCGCACCATACCCACCAAGCAACGCCCACAGAACCGGTAGTAAAAAATTTTGGATTTCACCACTGTCCCCCAACCCCACGTTTTACAGACTATCTGAGCTTATTTTGCTGCAGTAACTGTCTTTAAAAAGAATATAATATGACTTGCTAATACTGGCTTTCTGAAACATGCTTTTACCAGTTTTCTATCCAAAAATTCAAGCAATCCTTTTCATGATTAACAGGCAATCAGGAACAGCTTGTTGAACTTCAGCAACCATTCAGTAAGAGAAGGTGGCTGTTATGTTTGGAGTGAGAAATATTTCATTCACACTAACAACAAAAATAATGCTACAAAAGTTCAGGGACAAGCTCTTTCCTAAATAAGCATACACACAGTGATTGGCTTTCTATACAGCGTAGCAATAAGCCATAAAACATGTTTTGTAAATCATAAATGTGAGTCCCCATGATAACTAATAATAAAGTTGTTTTTTGTACTATATTAAGATATTAGTTATTATTAATTATTAATATTATGTATTGTTTAAAATACAGAATAGTTTGCTACATGGAGTCTGCTACAGTTTGCTACAACTGAAGTTGTCTACAAGTAAGCTTGCGTGTATGCATGCATGCACGCATACATAAATAAAACATGGCAGGCCAACTAGGAATCAGTAAGAAGGGCTGCACGATTGATGCCAGCATCCTTTTAGGCCCACTCATAGACAGAGGATA